TACTATATTTGGGCAAAATGGCCGCTCCCAGACTCATTGATCCGGACGAAAATTGTTTAAATTTTTTTTCTGATTGACGCTTAATAAATTAAATTCACAGCGAACGAATTAGTTTTAGGTATAGATGAAGATCCATTAATTATTCCTTGCTGACCGGACTTTTCCTTTAAAGTAGCGCATCAGAATGGCTTGGCGGTTAAATCAAAGAAAACAAAGTGGCTTTTGACCTTTTGGAGAAGCAGCAAAGTGAATTTGTGGCGGGGTCGCCAGCATGATCAGACGGTGCCTTCACTGATCAGTCTCTCTCTGGATTTCTCAGTTTCATGGTTAACAACCAGCTCTCCAAGGCTGATTTCTTTTTTTATTTTATTTTTTCTGGACGGGCCTTCATTCAGTGGACTGATAACGATGTGTCGTTAACCGCTTCTTGTTTCCACTCAGAGTCTAATGAGCTGCTCTTTTCCTGTGGTTGCTCGGACCTTCGGGGCTCCCTGCAGCACTAATGTCATGTTTTCCTTCTGTTGGTCTCTACAGCAGCAGCAGCAGCGAGTCTGACTCCCAGAGAGTCGGACTAAACCACGTCTGCTGCTTCATTAGCCGACAGAGGCAGACAGAGACGGTTTGGTTAAAAATGCCACAGCCTGCTGGCAGTGACACCCTGAAAAACTCTGCAGCCTAATTGTTTAGAGTCTGTTGTTATCAGAGTCATCTTGATCCTTGAAGCTCCAATCAAACGCTTCAAAGCGATGCTCTCATTCGTCTCTTATTAGAAACCAGCTGGAAGAAACGCATCATTGCATTGAGCTGTGAGATGAAGCGAGGAAAAGTGTTTCTTCAGATTCTGGAGCTCTGCTCCCTTTATAAAGGTAGCCTTCTGCTTTTCTTAGAGGGAACCAGCAGGGTGCCTCCTACAGGAGGAAGTCCCTGCCTGTGGTCCAAGCCCACCTCTCTCTCATCAGCTGTTTCTGAAGTCCCATAGAGAACAGGAGCAGGCCTGGGGAGGCGCCGCTGGACGCTACTGATGGCATCCGAACCGCGTTTGCATTTAACCAAACTGACCACTTCTGTGCCGTAATTTGATGGAATCAGAATCGGAAATACTTTAATAATCCCAGAGGGAAATTACTTATGTTACACGCTCCAGTATATCTCCAACAACACAAGATAATAAAGATAAAAATAAAAAAGAGATCAAATATATACACATATATCTCTTCTGTATATGTATCTATGTATGTATATATATGCATATGTAAAAACTAAATCCAAGTAAAGTGAAAATCCAAGTAAAGTAATATCTGGCGTGCAAAACTAGTGCATAAATGTCAATTAAAGGGGGGAGTAAATTTTGTTCCCTTATTGTTTAAAAGACACGCTTTAGGAAATGGAAATAAAATGCAGCCCAGAAGTAAAACTTTGAAAAACTTAATTCCTAAAAGTTTTAATGTTGACTTTGCAGTTTCTCTGCAAAGCTCAATCCAAATGTTCGCTGTCGACCAATGAAAATGTTGATAATGTCCAGCAGACCAGTAGAAATGTGCCTTCCCTCCTCACTCCAGCGCAGAACTGGCTGGGTTCGATTTCAGCGGCTGCATCCTCCAAGGACCCGATCCGCCTGGACTGGGTCCATGGAGGTCAGTGAAAATAAGGAAGAGTTCTGGCTATGGATTCAAAAAGGTCCAGCCATCTTCGGCTTTCATTGCCTGCACGCTTTGTCGCCTAGCAACCATGAAAGTTGACACACAAAACAGGCAAAGAATGGATGCTGAAATTCTCACTACTGTTCTGGGTGCTAATAACAATTTAGAGGAGCTTCATGAGCAGCTGTACCATCTTTGCAAATATCAGGTTTATAGTCCCCACACTGCAGAGATATTGGAATCTGAGCTTAAATGTCAGCCAAAGCCATTTACACAGTAACAGATTAAAACATTTCAGTAAATCAAACATTACCCGCCACATATCTGAATCGATAACAATTAAAATAACTATTTTCATTCATTTCAGATTAAATTTCAGATTCAGACTGCACTTCCAAAATTCACCACTGTTTGGCGCCATTTCCCTTCTTCCACTGACAGAGCAGCAAGCTTTCTTGTAATCACAATGAATCATGGGATACCCAAGGCTACATAGAGGCAGGACTAGTAAAAAGAAGGCTGCTTAACGAGGAGTCTTCCAATCCGAACAGACCTCGGCGCTATGACGTCATCGGCCGACAAATCTGGCCTTAAGGGAACACAGCCGCTGATTTTAAACTCGATCTGTAATCAGAATCAGAAATACTTTAATAATCCCAGAGGGAAATTAATTTTGTTACACGCTCCAGTTACAGTTTTATATAATATATTCACACATCCAACAATAAAAAAAAAATGTAAATCTCAGTCTGAGAAATGGCAATTTAAAAATGTATATTAAAAAAAAATGTAATATGAAAAATAGTTAAAACTTTTCAGTTCAGGAAAAAAAAAACATTGAAAAAGTAAAATCTAAAGCATCGAAGTTACTCAAGTTTTTTTTTTAAATATTTATTTCTGGATTGCATTTTTTCTTTTCAAATTTCCTTTTTTGCAAAACACCTTTTTTCTGGTCGTCTGTGTAGAGACGATGGATGGATGGATGGATGGATCCGCCTTAATGCGGCTGCACGGGCTGATTCTCAGCACCGAAAGCAGCTGAAGCTCCGTCAGATTGGGTGGAGATCAGTGTTGGGCACGTTACTTTGAAAAAGTAAACAGTTATTGTTACTAGTTACTTCTCCCAAAAAGTATTGGCATGAGTGTTGCGATTCGATACATGTTGCGATACTTGAGTCACGATACGTTATTATCACGATATTGCAGTATCCCCATATATTGCCATATTTTCCCCAGCTATCAAAATCAAATGATGAGATAAAACAGCAAGTGCTGTATATTTTCATCAGAAAATATTGAT